AAAATCGTCACATTCAATAATAAAATCAAAAACTTTCAAAAGCTGTTCACGAAAATCTGCTATAGTGAAAACTAACCGAGATTTAAAATTCCATCGCGTCTGACAAACTGTTGGCATTTTTTTCGAAACAAACCGTTCTAAAACATTAGTCCGTTTAGGCAAGCTTGAGAAAAATGAAGCAAATCCACTTAAACTGGCAAAAAAAGACTACATTCTTTAATTTTTTTACATGTATCTTGCAAAACTAAATTCATTCTATGCGCATGACAATGAGTAAATAAAGCTTGCGGTGCAATAGTTTTAACTTTTGCCTGGAGACCATTTAATTCACCAGACATCACGGTAGCGCCGTTATAAGTTTGCCCTACCAATTTATTTTTGATATCAAAAAAATTTAATTTGTCCTTTAAAACACCAAAAATATGTTCTGCCTTATGGCTTTTACTCACGTCTGTAAAACCTAAAAACCTCTCATAGATATTACCACGTAACGCGTATCGAACAACAATTGACAATTGTCAATGACATGATACGTCGGTAGTTTCATCTACTTCTAGTGAAAAGCAAATGGTTTCCTGAATCTCAGATTCAATAATGTTACTCAAAATGTAACTAATTGATTCTTTTAATTCATTCTGGATTGTTTTAGATACACCGCTAAATGTCTTCGAATCACAAAGTAAATTAGAAAATTCCAAATCGTATTTCTTAAACATTTTTATTAGTTCTCTATAATTACGTTGATTTAACGAATGCTCCGATTCATCGTGTCCCCTAAAAGATAATTCCTGACAACTTAAAAAAATTACAATATCAATTAAACGACGTAAAACTGCGTGATTATTTTTTACAATTTCGTTATGTTTAATAGCATTTTCACGTTGGGAATTATCTAATAAAACATGGATATTTTGTTTTCCAAATAAATCTAATTTAATCTGGCTGTAAGTATGATCTTTCGAAATAACACGTTTATGTAAAGCCCTAAATAATTCCTTTAAATTATCGTAACCAGATTCATACCACGGATTTTGATGTTTGCCCCTATTTGTCGAAACTAAAATGCAAGGCCAACAAAAAAGTTTGTTTTTATTTCACTCCCAGTAAGCCATGAGTACTTGCTGTACCAATTATCTGAAAATGATCTATTACTTCCCTTACCCGCACTAATATTCATAAGTCGGGACATTTTAGGCAAAGGACGCCCCTTATTTTTAATAACAATTTGTTCTTCGTATGGAATTGATGAAAACCCATTATGCAAAATATAATTTACAATATCAGACTTATCAATACTTACAGTTTCTCCCATGGCTTGCATTTTTTAGGTGTTTACTGAATTTGTTTACACTTTATTTAAAAAAAAACTTCTGATATGTCAAAAAACCCTTTAACCGTTAACTATTTACGGCAGACGTAACGTATCACAGTATTACTTTAGAAAATAAAAATAAATCACAAAAAGATAGGCTAGTTCGTGCACTGAATATCACTTCAGTGTTCTACATATATAAAAATGAAATAACATTTCGTCCCACGCTCGCAATGTACAGTTCGCGACCAAACACCAATCCAAATGAAACATCGGCAAATTTAAATCTGCCGGACTTAGTAATTAAGTTCATATGGAAAGAAATGTATATTTGGTTGCTAATCAACCAATATTCCGTTGATTTTTACAAGTAAAGTCAAGGTTGGGATCGGCTAGCCGAAAAAACAAAACGTGCCTTTTCAAGAATTCATAGGCGGATGGATGTCTCCGATATCGGAACATTTATTTGAAAAGTGTCTACGCAAGGATCACTTAACGCTCAGATTGGACGAATTCATTTAAAAACCATGAATAAAATTTAGTCTGGTCGAATTCTTTTAAAAACCATAAATAAAATTTAGTCTTTATTATCTCACAAATATTTTTTTAGTTCACAAAAACCAATGACATCAACTGATTACCTGCCACAATTATTTATTGAAATACTGATTAAATTAAATATTAAAATAATCTATAATATCTATAAAGATGTGGGTCGGCACTGCCGACCCTGACCGGCCGCCACTGTTAGAAACAACTTGATTGGGGAAAGAGCCGGGGTGAAAAATATTCAAGAACAAAGACTGCAATGGTTTGGTCATGTCAGAGGTAGAGATGAAAACTATGTGGCACGAAGGATAGAGTTGTTAGGATTGACTAGGATAAGTTGACGAAAGAAAAGGTTGAGGAAAACGAAGAGAAGATGAAAGGACTGTGAGGCAGATGACTTAAGAGAGAAAGGTTTACGTGAAGAAGACCTGATGGACAGAAATGAGTGGCGACGAAAAGTAAGGAACAGAGACCCCTGAAATGGAAAAAGCTGAGGAAGAAAGAGCCGGAATTTCACTCATTTCTAGACACCCATTAACAATTATTTATAGCATTTTTATTATAGTTTGTCTCCATACTTTTTCATTTCAAATACTATTGCGTCTTCCTATTTCGTATGGTATTCAAGGCGTTCCTTAATCTGTTATTTCTAATAAACTAGTATTTGCAGTTTTTCCGTATAAAAATATGTTTTTCTTCTTATCATATTGGTGGATCGAATTTAATCAAATGGATATAAATATCCTCAAATTTAAATGTACATAGCGGCCCTCGAAAACTACCAGTTTAATATTCGTTTTCTCAAAAGAAATCACAGAATGTATAATTAGTACATTTATTTGTGCTTCTCTATAGCAGATTTGACCACGAGCGCCATACAGTCTAGCCGATTCTTGTTCATAAGTAGCAATTAGTTCAAATAAACCTGAATTCTTCGACACAGCGATTATTACCGTCATAAAAATACCAAAAAAATGAGTTTTCAATGGTAAAAAATTGAGCACAAAATTGTAATGAAATAAATTTTATATACATGCTCCTTTTCGTTATATATTTATGTTTATAAAATAAAAATCGATATTTTACATTTCATTCCCATTTTGTTTCAAAGACTTGGCAACTTGGGGATTTGTAAAGCATCGCAACGATAACACCACCGTCTGTGCCAAAGCAAGAAACGTTCATTTACATAGGCGGTGCTGGCGGGAGCATTTTGTGCGGTTTAAGTTTGTGATGATAAACCAAGTGTTATTGGAGTTTGTCATTTTATAGCGAAGTTTTAGTTATATTCTGTGATTATTGAAATACAATGGACGAACAACCAAGTTGTTCCAAGAGAAAACAGCAAAATTCTGTTGATTCCAAAAATGAAAAGCCGCAAAATGTCCGAAGAGAAAGTAGTGATACAATATGAAGGAATTGTCAGCAGAAACATGGCATCAAATGGTGGCCAAGCCGTCGAGATTTGTAGCAGTTTAACAAAAGTATCCGTTAGCTGTATTTATAGTGTGCTTAAAAATACATCGGAAAATAAAAAGCAAGAAAAAGGTAAAACTAGAGGTAGGAAAAACATTGTTTTGGATGACAAGACAGTATTATTCGGCGAAACATTCATTCATTTTATTTTCGGAGTGAAATTACAACACTGAAAAAGTTCTCAAGAGCTCGAAAACGATTACTTCTTCAACAAGATATCTCGTAGAGTATTAATCAGGACTATGAGCGAAATGAACTTTCGATATGTAAAACTCAACAGAAAAAGTATGTTGTTAAAAAAAGAAATTATTTTGTGGAGAAGAAAATATTTAGAAGAAATACGCAAAAGTCGCGGCATTGGACTGAAAATATATTATTTAGATGAATCCTGGATTAACGAACGTCATACAGTCGGAAAAGTTTTGCAAGATTTAAATGTCAAAATTAAACGCGAAGCATTTATAGAAGGCTGGTTTACAGGATTAAATGCTCCTTCAGGAAAAGGACGACGTTTAATCATTATCAATATAGGAAGTGATACAGGGTCCCTTGATGATGGTTTACTTCAATTTGAGTCAAGAGAAATAGGAGATTATCATGAAGAAATGACTTCCGAAGTATTTTAGCGTTGGTTTAAGAGAATCTTAACAAAATTAGAACCTGCTCAGGTCACGTCAATAGACGTTTTAGCGTAACTTCCGCGACAGCCGGGTAACATCAATAAGCTTTCTGCTTATTTGTTTTTTTTTATATAGTTTTTGCTTGTTGCATTCTGTATTTTTAGGGGAATGCAGGAATAAGCCACAAAATATTTATTCATATGTTTAATTTACTGACGTTTCGATCTCTATTCCAGAGATCGTTTTTAAAGATTATATATATATATATATATATATATATATATATATATATATATATTATATATATATATATAACTATCATTTATATCTCTGAAAACGGTCTTTCGATATAGATATCGAAGCGTCAGTAAAAACCTGTAAATAAATATATTATGGCCTATTAAGAACAAATACTATTTAAAAAATATAATATAATTAACGTTGAAATAAAAGTGACTGTACGCCACTGGATTTTCCTACGTCGTTCCCCACCTCTCCGCCTTCAAAGGATGAAATCACTCTTCCAAATAGTTGAATTATAGTATAGTCTATCAAATAAATTAATAAACATTTATTGTAAAACAATAATTTATTACGTCTAATAAAAATACATTTCAACGGATAAAAATATACAAAATACTGATAATTACTCGATGGACAAATAAAATAAGTTAGTGCGAAAATTATCACTAGTAAAACTTGGTAAAAATAATTAACTAATACAAGTTTCAAAAATAAATAATTTGTGCTATAAGTATTTGACAATGTTTTTTTAGTATAAACAAGCATTCTTAACAATAAACAAAAAATATAAACATTTCTCTAATAACGTAATATACTATACAATATAAAACAACAATAAGTTACAATTTTAATTTAATTTCATTCCAATGTAATCGTGCGTTAAAAATGCAAAAACAGTTAATCAATATCAGCTTATGCTTACATATTATTGTAGATAGTTAAAGAACAGACAAAGGGAAAAAATTTACGATGCAATAATTACTTGAGAGAAATATCTCATATATTTTCCACCTAAGAAGACAGCTTTGCAATTAAATGCTGGTAACTTTATTACTAGCGGACCAGATAAGCGGCGATATATTTTACACTACCTTTATGAATAACATTCTACTGCTCTGTTGTTTCAACCAGCACTGCTCAACAAGTTATCGTTTATTGGTTTTAATATTTTATTGCCATAGTACAAATACGGAATATTTATTTAAACAGTGAATTTATTACAGGTTCATTTTGTTTTTAATTTCGTTCGTTTTTAACATCGTTAAAAATTAATTGATGGTCGTGGGATGTATTGGTGTTATTTAATAATTTAGCAAACTACATAATCAGCAAAACTCTTATTTAAAACACGCGAACGGTTTTTGCAATTGAAATTGCTTGTTTAGCATTGGCTGTTAAATAATTTGGCTATAAGCTAAATGGAATGAAATTAAATTGACTTTTAAGTAAAATTAATTTGAACATCCTACAACCGGTTTCACAAACGTTCGTTAATTTTATACTTAACTACGAGTTAACTTTGCGGGTCGCTAGGTATTTCTAATGCCTTTGTCGTTTTAGATTTTTTTTATTTATTTCTTATTATATAATGATAATAACATAATCATAATAATATTGAATCTCTTACAGAATAAATAATTAAATTGAAAATCCCAAATAAAGTTAATCAAAAAAAAGTTATTAACAATATTTCAGGCGTTGCCAAAGTTAACAATCCGTTACTTAGGTGTGGAATTAATTATTGTCTGTGATTAGTGGTAACTACATTTCTTAAATTAAAAATTAAGTACTTAAGCCAGAGATCATTTTTTCTTGCCCCAATAATCTTCGCTTTGCATTTCACTTAAGCGCGACAACGTCCGATCGAAGGCAAATATTTCTTCCGCTCCCGTAAAAATATTTGCGGTTAAATCCTTTTCGCCCATTTTTAAATCGTCCATCAACATTCTGTCTTCGTCTCTAATTTCATCAGGGGCTACAGTCGGTACGTAAAATAGTTCTTTTAGAGGGGCATCCGCTGAAAGGATCACCTATAATGTAAAACGATATTAAAACAACATTAAATAAGGACTCACAATATTTCTAAAGAAGTTATTAGAGCAGAACGGGAAACTGTTAAAAAAAAAAGAAAACGAATAATTTGGGGAAACTAAGGAACGTCAAGAAAAATAAGTATACGAAGTGAAACGTTTTCTAATAATATAGGCAACTGATTTACTAAAACATCTAAATACATCTCACCATTTAGATTTTCTTAAAAAAAATATGGTCACACGACATGATTACCAACAATACTTCCCTACACGTTCAGCGACAATCTAGTGTGATTGTAAGTATGTGGTACGGCATGTGGTATGGTATTAGTTGTGGCATAATAAGTTATGCCTATTAACAGAACCGTTATTATAAGACGTATCATCTCCAAATAGTATATTCTCGAAGAAATCCATGTATTTTGGTCTTTAGAGAAGTTTAGCCTATCTGCAATTTTTTAATCTTTCTTAAATCAATCTTCTCATACGTCAAGTGTCGAGTATTCCTCATACCTCGCCAAAGACTAGGTGGCGCATTTCCCCCCTTTCTTTCAGTACCGAATTCTGACATTTCCATTGGTACCTCACAAGCCCCATTTTTTTTTTTTCTAAATATACCTCATCACATATCTATACTGCCGTCCTACGAAAGAACCCCGTATCTCCAAAAATTTAAAAAAAAACGAGATAATTGCTTCTACACGTTTCTCGTAGTGTATACTACTATGTTACTGATAAAAAAACCCGTATTTGATATTTTTAATTTATAATCGAAAATTGTTTCCCCGTATGTAACATTATTGGCCCTAATACTAAATTAAAACCCCGTATGCACGCCTCTTTAAGTAAAAACACCGTATTTGATCAACTACGGGTTTTTAACTTAGGAACTTTGATTGCGGGGGTTTTGCTTAGCAGAATGCCGGCGTGGTTTTTGATGCAGTGCTATTTGAAAACTAAGTGTAAAATACAAATTACCTAAGGTAAGACTACAAAATAATAAAATTAATGTGTTTTATGTACATTTACTATGGTGTATTATTAACAGATTAGACAGATTAGAATTGAAAGTAACTTATTTTACTCAGCGGCCATTAGATCAAAAACAAAAAAAATCCACAAGGAATCTACGTTCCTGTAGTTGGCTGTATCTTCTTCTTTGGGTTCCTTCTCCTAGCGGAGGTTGGAAATCATCATCGCTATTTTAACTTTGTTGGCCGCATTTCTGAATAATTCTAATGAGCTGCAGCCGAACCACTCTCTCAAATTTCTTAGCCAGGACATTTTGCGTCGTCCTGGGTTTTTCTTCCCTTGCATAATCAACCTCAGTAATACGTACTTCTCACCCCTCATTAAATGTCCCAGATATTGAATCTTTCTAATTTTAACAGTTTTTATGACTTCACATTCTTTCTTCATTCTTTGTAACACCTCTATATTAGTTACTTTTTCAATCCACGATATTTTATGCATTCTCCTGTAGCACCACATCTCAAAGGAGTTTAATTTTTTGATTTCAGACTGCTTTATTGTCCACGCTTCCATGCCATATAGTAAAGTAGAGAAGACGTAACAACGTAGCATTCTTGTGCGAATCTCTAGATTAAGGTTACGGTTGCAAAGTAATTTCTTCAATTTTATGAACGTATTTCTTGCCATTTCTATTCTAGATCTGATCTCCTTTACTTGATCTCCATCTTCGGTTAGCCACGTTCCTAAATATTTATATGTTTTTACTAATATATGGTATACAGTTGGCTGTATACCATATATTAAAAAATTTATTAAAAATCCTTTGTAAAAGGTATATATTTAGAACCCAAACGGGCTAAGTTAAAAAGACAAAACGTTTTCGGAATCCATATTCCATCATCAGCGTCCTAGAAAATATTTAACCACTTAATTAAAAAGAACGTATGTTAAAATTTTGACTAAGGTTAACTAAGCAGTAAAAAAATCCAACTCTGGACCCGTAAATGTCCAAGAAATGATGGTGTCTGATTTCCATGAATGGAAAAATTTTTCATCGCAAGCAAAATTAAAGAAGATCTGTCCACGAATTTATCTTTCTCAGATAACAAAAATTATAGTTGAACAAGGAGCTTTCACATTAAAAGTTCAAACGAATTATAAAGAAGATATGCGAGACTAAGATTTTTTGCAAATAAAAGTAAAGAAAGGACCTCATGAGTGCTCCATGTGGAATACCAAAAACTAAAAAGTAAAGTATTCTAAAAAATTTAAGTGAAGTTATACCTGAAAATCGAGGACATTTTTGGCAGAATCTTCCATTGTCAAATCCGAATTAGTAATTTTACTTACTGTGTGTTTTGATTGAAATAAAATTACATAACACCATTTTATTTTGCCTTTAATTTTTCTAAACTAAAATAGCATCTTCGGTTTTCTTGTTAATTTTACGTAGTAAAAACCACGTAAAAACAATTTTTCGTTTTACGGGGATTTAACTAAGAACGATTGCATGCTCAAATAAATTTTAAATCCCATAACTCCATTTTCTAGTAGCATCTGATTATTTATCAAGTTTATTTTTACATAATAATTTTCAGGGTAGTCAAACATTATAATACTAATTTTAAGCCAATACGACAGGTAATATTTTTAGGGCAAAACAAAATATATTAAATATTATTATTATATAAAATATATTTTTCTCAAAACAATGTTCCCTACCTGGAGATACGGGGGTCTTTCGTAGGATGGCAGTATAGACCCACGTCCCAAAGCCCACTGTTGTGTCAGGGTGGAATGCATAAAACGTAGTATCTGCTAATGCTTCAAGTAATTCTACATTTTTGTAGTACTTGCTACACTTACAAAGCATTTTGTTTTCCTCCGTAGTATTTACTACTATTTACCAGATACATAGAAGGATGTACTACGCTTTTGAAATATTTGCTAGTTTAGTAGAATTTGCTTCAGTTTAGTTGAAGTTGGTAGATAAACAACTTCGGCTTAGGTGTTTTTTGTTATGTTTGTTAAATGGCAGCATTTATGAATGTTCGTCGTAGAAAAATCTACAAACCAGGAAGAATATACAATGACGATATATATCGTAAAATATTCAGGTAATTATCATGAATCGTGCAGTTTTATTCATACAGTGCGCTGAAATAAGTGTAACCCCCCATATTAACTCATTTATTTTTAGTATATAAGCAAAACACTCGAAGAGGTCGATTTTTAAAATAATGATAGTATAGGTAAAGAAATAATAAATAAGACTTACTCACAATCAATTTAATTTAACTATCAGACGACAGGTTTCGCTTTCTACAATATGCAAAGCATCTTCAGGTCTCGATACAAAGTTAAACAAATGCTGAAATGATAAAAACCCATATTAGGGTGTTGTCTAATAAAGATTAACAAATTAGATGTTATAAATTACAATAATTATGCCAATATTACATGTCTGTGGTTTTATTTAAATGATTGAGTTGAATAAAAGGTATAAAAATTTTTTAAGGAGGTTAAAAAGACAAGGTAAGGCCCACAAATTGTTATAAAATCTCTTCTATTGTAATAAATTAATAAATGAGCAAATAAATAAATAAAATAAAAATTACTTACATGCCGGTACTCTATTAATAGATGGATGGTAGAACATGTTTGAAACTACTTTATATTGTTGAATGGAGAACTCAATACTATTATTGCAGTTGTTTGACAGTAAACGGGAAGTTCTTGAGGAGATAGATTTGATCCAATGAATTTGAGATATGTGTGAGATTGTTTGTTAAATGTAAGTGGTGTAATATACTATTGTGTTATTAAAAGTTATTTATACTTATTCCAGAGATATATTTTTGAAATGTGTGTTATTTATTGAGTAATTGTTTTATGAAGGTGACATTTTATGACAATGAATAAGTGTAGATGTAAAAATTGTGTGGGTGTGCAATTATTTTCAAACTTGTAGTTATCAAATTACTTTGATAAAGTTCTATTGCCAATTGCCAATAGAACTTTATCAAAGAACTTTATCAAAGTAATTTGATAACTACAAGTTTGAAAATAATTGCACACCCACACAATTTTTACATCTACACTTATTCATTGTCATAAAATGTCACCTTCATAAAATAATTACTCAATAAATAACACACATTTCAAAAATATATCTCTGGAATAAGTATAAATAACTTTTAATAACACAATAGTATATTACACCACTTACATTTAACAAACAATCTCACACATATCTCAAATTCATTGGATCAAATCTATCTCCTCAAGAACTTCCCGTTTACTGTCAAACAACTCCAATAATAGTATTGAGTTCTCCATTCAACAATATAAAGTAGTTTCAAACATGTTCTACCATCCATCTATTAATAGAGTACCGGCATGTAAGTAATTTTTATTTTATTTATTTATTTGCTCATTTATTAATTTATTACAATAGAAAAAATTTTATAACAATTTGTGAGCCTTACCTTGTCTTTTTAACCTTCTTAAAAAAATTTTTATACCTTTTATTCAACTCAATCATTTAAATAAAACCACAGACATGTAATATTGGCATAATTATTGTAATTTATAACATCTAATTTGTTTATCTTTATTAGACAACACCCTAATATGGGTTTTTATCATTTCAGCATTTGTTTAACTTTGTATCGAGACCTGAAGATGCTTTGCATATTGTAGAAAGCGAAACCGGTGGTCTGATAGTTAAATTAAATTGATTGTGAGTAAGTCTTTTTTATTATTTCTTTACCTATTTGAAATGGACTCACACAAGCAACACGTTCATGATTTTAATCATAGTATATTATTCGAACTTTAAGCAATCTTTCTTCAGGTGACAGTCATAATTTTGATTTTTTTAAATGGGAAAGTAGGAGAGTAGGGGGCGGTAATACTTATTTTAGCTTACTACATGTATATATATTTAGGTATTAATATAAAATCTTTATAAAAAGTTGAAAAATCACATGAAAAACTAGTTCTAATACGATTGGTGTGATGCGCATAAGGACACTACGGCTGGCGTTACGTTTAGTAGTAGAACCTTCAGGTCAGTAGTAAGTACTTCGGTTGTACTTGCTAAAGGAGGTGCTTTTCAACAAAGCACCTCCTTTTATGTAAAATTAAATGCTACAAACCAGATACTATTTGCTGAAGCAATAGCATCTACTACTTTTTATGCATTCCACCCATTCAAAACACCTGAGCGTCGGTTTGCAAGGTAGCTGCTAGTACTACCTATTCAGATACTGCTTGCTTTCTACCTGAATTAGTTGTTTTTTTTTATTTTATTGAAATTAGTTTATTTTATGTAAATTTATTAAAGTTGATATTACTCAACTAATAAAACAACATTTATTAATTCTAAGCCGATACGAAATTCGCTGGGTTAGCTAGTTGCATAACATAATAAAAACAACAAAACATTTGTTTCCTACCTTCGTTTTGTTATCATACAAGGCATCTATAAGCGTAATAAACCTTCTTCCTTCTGATCTCATTTTATTAAGATCTATCCTCGGTACGTCTCTTATAATAATCGTATGGAAAAATTGGGTCAAATGTAAGTAATCGTTTGCTCCAAGTGGTCTGCAACATAACTCTTCAAAGGAAGTTTCTAATACACCTCCGCACACTTTCCTGAAATTATAGAAAGAAAGAAATTTTTTTAAAATAATTTTGTTTGATTTGTCTTAACCAATTAGTTTTCCATTATTCTCTGAACAATGATATTTTGAATACGTGAAAACATGAAACTCTATGATACTCGTGATCAATTTGAAATTTCTATATCGGTTTTGTCTATTTCACATGTATATCTGTCGCATGTATAAAAAAATTAGAAACTACGATCGCTAAACATTAAGACTGACTGAATTATTGCATGGAGTGATTTAATTACCAGAAAAACCAAACTAAATTTATTATTAATTACTATTAAACTGGGAATAAGCCACAATTAAAGATAAAAATACGTTTATTGACGTTTCAATTTCCACTTTGGAAATCGTTCTCAAAATACAAACAGTAAATTAAACAAATTTTGGTTTTTGTTACATATTAAAATTCTTCTAATAATTTAATTTTATCTGACTCATTTATATTGACAATTTAGACATACATTATGCATTTTAAAGTAGACGACTTTAAAATGATATTGCCAATATTGTTGAGTTGCGCTCCTGGGACGACTTTACTTATAAGATAGTTCATTCGATTACATGAAATCAACTTTAACTTGAGAATATCCGTCAGAAAAAAATCATAGCATGTAATTCGTCTTTAAAAAGACAAACACATGACATGATGACAGTAAAATTCTCCTGTTAGTGATTCCATAGTAAATTATGAGGGAAAAACAGGAAAAAAACCTCATAATACTATCCCGACATTGTAAGTATTTGTTCGTGAATTTAGTTTACCTTCAACAAACATCAAAATTCTGATTTTATATGTTACCTTATTTAAAAAACATAAATGATGTATCCTCTATATGTTACTGACTTACTAATACTTGTATTTTCTTATTAATAACTTCCTCTTTCAATATTGGTAACCAGATCCTACTACATTCTGCCGAGGAATTTGCGACACAATTGGCCTCATTTAGCATAATTAGAGCCGCTTCTTTGATTTTTCTTTTTTTACCATCCGTTTCTTTTAGGACTACATTTGAATTATTCCATTGAACCCTATGTTCATTATCCCATGCGTGTTTACAAATTTGAGATCTATCAAATTCTTTATTTTTAATATAAGATTGATGTTCACTTATTCTAACATTTAATGGCCTTGATGATTCACCTAAATAAAACTGATCGCATTCACAAGGTATTTTATAAATGCAATTCTTTGTCCTTTCTTGTTCATTGTTAGGTTTGGTTTTGGACAAAATAGATAAATATAAATTTATTATATCTAGAAAGGGCTTTAACTATTGCATGTTTACAATCTACTCTATACACAGAGTAATAAGTAAATATTATGTTGGTAAATTAACGTGAGTTAGGTACCGTCCAGTGACGCTTCTCTAAGTATTATTACGGTAGGTCTTCTAACCTACTCTCGTCAGTCTTATTTCGGCAAGTGGTTAGGTAAATAAATGATTTATCAGTTCGTTGTTGTGATCAGTGGTACGGTTTTTATGTTGTATTGAATGATTCTTTATTATGTTCTTGATTAGTGGGATGTCCAGGTTATTGTGAAGTGTTTGGTTAGATACATACCATGGAGCTTTACTTATCATACGGAGTATTTTGGATCGGAATATTTGAAGTGTCTTCGTATTTGAAGGTTTACTGCAGCCCCATAGTTGTATTCTGTACGACCAAACTGGTACGAGTGTAGCTTTGTAAAGAACTTAGATAAGGAAAGAGGGAGGACAGGTAACGCTCATTTAATAAACCTTTTGGTGCCTGTATGTTGCCCATTACTGCCTATCGCAGGTCTACTGATTTTTCAGTAGATCTACTGATTTTAACTTCAATTTACTGATTTATTGAAACACTATATCGATCTACTAAAAATATGTAATGATAAAATCATGTTCAAAAAGTAATCATTATATCAGTGTTCAATTATAAGTTTTGAAAAATATTTATTGATATATACCCATTACTCTCAATCTACTAAAGAGATAAAATATGACCTGGCAACCTTTTTGGTGCCGGTTTCTTCTTCTTCTTCAAGTTCCACTCCTATCGGAGATTGGAAATCATTCTGGCAATTATAATTTTGTTGGTTACACGCCTGAATAGTTCAATTGAACTGCATCCAAATCATTCACGAAGATTGCGTAGCCACGAGATTTTACGTCTTTCTACGCTTCTTCTACCTTTGATTTTATCCTGCGTTATATTCCTTAATAGTTCGTATTTTTCACCTCTCATGATGTGCCCCAAGTATTCCAATTTCCTGTTTTTATGGAATTTAAAACTTCGGATTGTTTTCCTAGTTGTTCGAGAACTTGTTCGTTTTTTTTTGCGATCTATCCATGATATTTTCAAAATACGTCGGTAACACCACATTTCGAATGCTTCTATTTTTTTAATGTTGGATTTTTTAAGTGTCCAAGCTTCAACTCCATACAAAAGGGTAGAGAAAATATAACATCGAAGCATTCTTATCCGGAGCGATATATTGATATCGCGATTACAAAAAAGTTTTCTCATTCTATTAAAAGTTGACCGTGCAATTTCAATGCGGCATCTTATTTCTTTTGTCTGATCAGTATCTTCTGTGATCCATGCTCCAAGGTATTTGTACGAAGATATTTGTTCAATTTCTGTATTATCTAGTACTAGCTTAACTTTGATGTTTTGTGCTTTTGTAAATACCATGGTGCCGGTTTGGCTTAAGTTAATTCCACACAATTACGCGTTCCCTCTCTTTCCGTGTTTAAGGTACAGAAGATACACTCTTTTGTTAAATATTCAGTTCATATTAGGGAGTTTTTGTAACTACCTAACGTAACGTATCTCCCTATACGTAAAGAACTAACGTATCGAAGAAGATGAACGTTAAATTGAGAGTTTTTGTTCTGCACGTAACGTAACGATGGTGTTGCCCTCATCGAAATAGTGACAAACTAATAAGTTGTCAGTGCCAGTGTTGTCCTTGTCATTTAACCCTATTTTTTATATTCAAAATAAATAATAAATATTTTTTCAACAATTTTTAATTTTGGTGGTGGATGCAATAATAAACTTAGGTGCCTTTATTGATGATGAAGAAAACAAGGACATAGAAAATGCGCTTCTTCTCCAGATCTTGCACGTCTATACGGCCACTTTAATTTATACCATGTCTGATATATATAATGTAAAAATATTTTTCGCTTTTGGATTAAATTCCACCTTTCTGGATAATCGTAAGGATTCTGGCCTACGACTTCCTTCAACAAAAACAAATCATTTTCATTGCTGAAGTGAAATCGTTTTCTACTGCTTTCCATTATTTATAAAAATCAAAACAAATATACTTAACCACAAATGTGATGAAATGTTGATATTTTGGTAATCGGTAAGATCCCCTTGAGCATTCGGTTACTTTCGGCTCGATAGAGATGCGTATGAACGTAACGTATCAGCCCGTTACGTTAGGTAAGACGTATCTAGATACGTTAGTTCAAGCATTAATGCGCATGCTTATATGTCAAAAAGATACGTTACGTATACGTATTTGCTTGCCAAAAACTCTCTATTTTTTTAGTTTAAGATCTAGTTGTTTTCGTTTAGATTTAGTATTTGACAACTGGTTTTATGAGAATGGGGGTATTGTTAATAGAAACTTTTGGACGTGTAGATTTTCTTGTTATAAAAGTAATTTGTACTGATTTCCTGGCATTAACATTGATCTTCCGTCAAATAAGCCAGTTTTGTAATTGGTCTAAATGATTTTGTACTTTTTGTGATTCTACATTAGGACCGATATTCACTGCCAAGATTCCCATGTCATCAGCAACAGTAGCTAAGAAGGTATTATTGCTGGTTGGAACGTGTGCTGCAAATATCAGATGCAGAAATGGGCGCAGACCGCTACCCAGATTGTATGATGTGGTAATTTGAGTAGCTGTCTTCAATTTTGCCTTGTAAGTAACAGTCAGTAAGATACGATTTTAATATAAAGCATAGTTGGTCTGTTAGGTGTAATTTCAGTTTAAAGAGAAGACCTTTATGCCATATGACATTTCTGTTTGTAAAAACTAAATGCATGGCCATAAGAAAAAACGCACTTTTAAGAATACAACTGCAAGTAGATCGTGCTCCAATCGATCAAGTGGAAACATTTAAATACTTGGGAATGATGATGAATGACCAATGGGATCCTCAACAAGAAATAAAATGCCGTACCGAACAAGCAAGACAAGCTTTTATCAAATTTAAACCGCTACTAAGTAACTAGTAAGTAAATTTCCTTCAATCTCCGCTACAGGATGGTTAAATGCTATGTATGGTCCATGTTGTTATACGGCATGAAAACATGGACGTTAAGATTACCTTCCATTAATAAGTTGGAGGCCTTCAAAATGTGGACATTGCGAAGAATGTTCCAAATACCATGGAAAGATAGGTTGAGAAACGAGGAAGTCTTAAGAAAGGCAAATACTGGGAGAGAACTACTCAATTTGATCAAAGTACGAAAAATTGGATACCTCGGCTATATTCTGAGAGGAAAAAAATACGCAATCCCTCAACTAATCATCCAGGGAAAGATTGAAGACAAGAGGATTGGGATTGGGAAATAAATATAAAAACAGAACGTCTTAGAAAAAGATGGCTCGATTAGAGGTAGAATTACCCTAAAACAGAAAAACGTGCAAAACTGGAGAATGGAGGCAGAAGAACATGAAAGGGAATTGTCAAGCTATGGTCCTTTTACAGGTAAAATTTATTATAAGGCTCTGGTGGTAGAATTTTAAGTGATATTAAAGAGCGTTGTACTGAATGGGAAAATTACATAATAGAATTATTTAAAGATGACCAAAGAATCTACCAAGATATAACATCTAACCGAGATACTATCCCACCGATTCTAATCTCAGAAGACCATGAGAGTATTACGATTATCTCCTCCTTTAACAAAACATACAGCAACGGTAAATTACCAGACGACTGGTTATAATCAAATTTATAACTACT